CCTTCAAACTACGGTCTTGATTCTTCCCAAAAAACAAGCCTTTCCCAGGAGTAGCTTTAAGATATGTAAGAATTCGATATACTACCTTCATATGTTCTTCAATAGGAGCATGCATGAATCTGCTGACAACACTCACAACATATGCAATGTCGGGCCTCGTGTGTGACAAGTAAATAAGTTTTCCAACAAGCTTTTGGTATATCTCTTTATTAGCTAGGACTTGATTTGTTAATATGGCCAGTCGATGATTTGTTTCAATCGGTGTGTTAATGGGCTTACAATCAAGCATTCCAGTTTCTTCTAACAGGTCTAGTATATATTTCTGTTGGCACATATTGATCCCAATTTTTGACCTTGATACTTCAATACCCAAGAAATACTTAAGCTCACCCAAGTCCTTTAATTCGAATTCAGTAGCGAGCCTTTCTTGAATTTTAGCTATTTCTTCATCATCATTACCTGTTACCACCATATCATCTACGTATACTACAAGTGTTGTAATTTTATTGTTTTCATTTTTAGCAAAAAAAGTATGGTCTGCATCACTTTGTTTGTATCCAATCTTCTTCATAAACGCCGAGAACCTACCAAACCAAGCTCGAGGTGATTGCTTCAGCCCATATAACGCCTTTTTTAGCTTACAAACTTTCCGAGCCTCCATGTAGACTTCTTCTTCTAGATACTCGTTTAGAAACACGTTTTTTACATCCAATTGTCTCAAGGGCCAGTTTTCGTTAGCCGCTATGGAAAATAACACTCTTATTGTATTCATCTTTGCCACCGGGGCAAAGGTATCTCCGTAGTCAATCCCGTATTTCTGTGTGTGCCCTTTTTCCATGAGTCTTGCCTTGAACCGGTCGATATTTCCACTTGAATCTAACTTCACAGTAAATATCCATATGTACGCCACTACTTTCTTTCCATAAGGCAGCGTTACAAGCTCCCATGTATGATTTTTAATTAGAGATTCTATCTCTTCCATGATTGCCTTCTTCCATCTTTCATCTTTCATAGTTTCATACACATCTCGTGGTATCAAAACGGTGGATAACTCGTTAATTATCGTCGTGTGGGAGCTAGCTAAGCGATGTTGCGAGATATAATTACCAATAGGATACTTAGATTTTGCCTTCAAGTCAGCTTGGTATTGCGTCTTTAGAATTCCTCAAGTACTTCTTACTGTAAAACACGATTCAAAGTTACCGCCAGCGGGTACCTGATCTTGGGCTGGATGTTCTTGGGCTTGTATTCATTTTCCTGGACAAAATCAGACGTAACACTTTCATTATTAGTTAGGTTGTTAGTTCTATCCAGCCCATGAATGGTATCATCATCATCAGGTTCCGTTTCGGGTTCTACATAATCAGATTCCATTTAGGGTTCTACTTCGGGATCTGGTTCATCTCGATGATCGGTATTTTGATCACAGATTTTAATTTCAAACACTTCAGTTTCAATAGCATTCACTTCTTCATTTCTCTCCTCCTGAAGTGAACTCTCATCTTTAAAGAACTGCAAGGTTTCATGAAACGACACATCATGCGATACACATATCTTATTTTCGATTGGATTGTAGCACCGATAACCCTTTTTCTGAGTAGCATATTCTATGAACATGCATCTAACAGCCCTTGGTTCAAGTTTTCCTATATTTTGATGAACATATTCTGTACACCCAAATATTTGTGGCTCAAGTCCAAGGTTAATAGGTTGTTGTACAAGCTCTTGAAGTTTTTGCAAAGGCGTGGAAAAACCAATAACACGAGAAGGCATTATATTCATGAGATATGCCGCGGATCGAACTGCCTCACCCCATAAATTTCGCGGTACGTTCATGTCGAACAAGGAGGCATGTACGATTTCAAGAACTTGTCTATTTCTTTGTTCAGCCAGTCCATTTTGCTGGGGGATTCTGGGACAAGAGGTTTGATGTCGGATAGAGTTTTCTTGGCAAAAACACGTCATGGCATGATTTATGTACTACCTCCGTTATTGGACTGTAATATCTGGATATCTATCCTATATTCAGTCTTGATCAGGTGATGTAGTTCTTTAAATGCAGACAATACATCGCCTTTATTTTTTAGCAAGAAATTCAAATGATCCTAGTACATTCATCAACAAAAGTCACAAAGTAATGAGTTCCACTGGGAGTGGAGATTGGGGCCGGCCCCCATACATATGAATGTATTTTTTAAAAGGGAACAAAGACTTTATTATCACTAGGAGTATATGAAATTCTTGTGTTCTTTGCCAATTCACAAATACCACATTTAAAATCACTTTCACGAAGGTTCAAAAACAAATTCGGTTTCAACTTTTTCAAATAACTAAAAGATAAATGTCCTAGACGACGGTGCCATAACATCGCCATATACTTATTCGCCTCCTTTATTCCGGTATGAAGTGCATGACTCTTATGATTCTCTTCGAGATAATACAACCGCCCCCTTCTAGTACCATAACAAAGAATCTTGTGTGTCTCTATGTCCTGAAACACACAGTCATTTGGCCAGAAAATTACATAACAATTCAATGCTTCTGTGATTTGACTAATTGAGAGTAGGTTAGAAGACAAAGATGGAACTACAAGAACTGAGTCCAGATTCATAGAACTCGACACCTATACAACCCCTTTACATGTCACATTTTCAAGTTCCCCACTCGCAGTTTGTATTATACTTTGTTTAGGTGCATGTAAAGTTGTCAAAAGGTTTTTATCATTTATCATGTGGTCTGTAGCACCTGTGTCAATTATCCATTTACTAATTTTTGTTTGGTTTTGACGAGATATACCGAAGGCAGTCGTACTGGTGTGTGCTTGATTAAGCTTCTTTCTAGGCTTTTTTTTGTGAAGTCCCACCACTCCGGATAGCCTATGATCGCATAACATCTTTGCTTTGTGTGGCCTTCTTCTCCGCAGTGAGTACATGTAAACGAGTTTTTCTTCCCATTCGAGTTCTTTCCCTTTTGAGGGCCGTTACGTGAGACCATATGTACCATGCTATCGGGTTCAACTTTTGGTTCTTCCATGGTTTGTCTGGAGTCTCTTCGAATGTAAGCATAACTACACTCCAAACTCAAACGTGGGTCTTTCCTTAGGATTTCACTTCTAGCTAGGTTAAACTCGGAGTCCAACCCAACCAAAAAAATGTGTACACGGAGACGAGTCATTGTCTTATTTTCGGACACAGTACCATCAACAGTCTCCTCTTGCGTGGTAATTCGAATATCAATTTCTAGGAAGATGCTCACCAATTCGTTGTAGTACGTCGGTAGAGCACGCCCATTATGCCGGGTGTTGAAAGACCGGCGGTTCAATTCGAATAGCTGAGTTTCATCACTTCTTTCGTAGAATGTTTTCCCGATTGCCTCCCATATTTCAGCCGCCGTCTGAAGTCAGATAAAGCGGCGGATCAGGGACGGGTTTATGGGATCAATTAGCCAGCTCTTGACACGATTGTTGCCGATCAGCCAAGATTCGAGTTGTTTCTCATCGCGGTTGGTAGGCTTCGGGGTTTTTCCAGTGATAAAACTAGACTTGTTACATGCCCCGATGCGCATGTCCATTAGTTGAGACCACAACGGGTATTTCCTATCGTCGAGGGTAATTCTGGTAGGGAATGGTGCGTCCTGGACATTCTGGACAATCATCGGGTTTGAGTTGGATGAGTTTTCTTTGTCGCCCATTCATAGATTTCCGATTCGAGGGATTCAGATCAAGTTCAACAATATTTGGAAGACTCTGATACCATAAAGATTGATAACAGAGTGAATATGGAGGAAGAATCTTCCGTTTTTCAGTATATTCTTAAAAAAATAATACATGAATTTATAAAGGGAAATTGATAACAACTTATTCTACCTTGGGCCTTAATTCTTGGATCTAATAATATCTATACTACAATTAACACAAATCTTATCTGTTTCTAAATATTGCTCTCATTAACACTTTTTATGTGTTATATACAATTAGTGAACATCGTTAATTGTTGGTTTACATAAATATCAAACGTGGTAGAGGATAATCACAACTTTAGCAAACTTGTACATACATTTTCATATCGTTCGCTCTAACTTCATCAAATACTCATACGAAGAGTCGCTCCCATGCCAAATCCTATTTGACGCATTGTCGTTGCACATTTTTAAATTGGAGAGAAACATTGTCCGCCTCTCGCATCCCACTTTAGATGAAAATATGGAAATCAATTCGTCACGTCATCAACTATGTGTAGGAATAAATCTATCATCATGTCAAATCAAGATGGTTGTGCCCAGTCACACAATATCTATGTAAAAGACCTTTTCTGGTTTTTGAACACATACTTTGGGCTTCCTGTTTTGTAGATAAGTAAGTGTTGTTTGCATAATGTTCTCAATAAAATCCGATTCCCGTAGAGTCAATATATCCGGCAAAATGGAAGAAGATGATTACATTTTCAATTTGATATATAGAGAATGTTTGAAGTTTTTATGTTGAAGTTTAAAATAGAATAAATGTTAGTTTATTTATAATGGAGAAAAAGAAAAAAAAAATTAATGTTCCAACAGTAAAAAAAAGAAGAAGAATATGCACTAGAAAAAAAAAATCCGCCAAATAAGTGGTTCCACCGTATCACCGCACAGCGCCCGATATAATGTCCACAACAATACCGCAATGACACAACAGCACACTGGTGACATATTATCACCTCGCGGTGTGTGGGACATGTAGACCCTCTCCCCTAAACCAAAGTAACACTTCAAAAAAAGATGTGGGATGTTGTTTTCCAATGATATGAAACGAAAATAAACACTTTTAACATGTTTCATGCATTGAATACCCCCAAAAACACTAGCGGTTGGTCTCTTCTTTCCTTCACCAGCAAACCCACATGCCTCTCTCTCTCTCTCTCTCTCTCTCTCTATATATATATATATATATATATATATATATATATATATTATGCATATATATAGGCAAGTAGTTATAAAAAAAGAGAGTGTGAGCTCTGAAAATGGCTTTCAAGAAATCATCAGGGAAACTGTCACAAGCAGCACTTTTGAAGCAGATAGTAAAGAGGTGTTCGAGTTTGGGTAGGAAACAGCAGCAACACTACGACGATGTCCCCAAAGGACACTTTGTTGTGTACGTTGGTGAAAACCGGAGTCGATATATCATTCCTATATCCTTCTTGTCACGTACTGAGTTCCAAACCCTTCTTCACCAAGCTGAAGAAGAGTTTGGATTTGATAACGACATGGGTCTCACTATTCCTTGTCAAGAACAAGTTTTTGAGTCTCTTACTTCCATGCTTCGGTAGTTACACTAAGCTTAATCAACTACAAGAGTACCACACTACCACTACATTTTATTTACCCCTTTCCTTATATAGCTCGGGAAATCATGCATATTGATGCTCAAGTCATCTGATATCAGATGACTGGAGTATGCAACATTCAATGATGCCTACTTTTTTAACCATTTTATGCTGTTTGAATAGATGAGTACTGGAGCATAAGTAGTCTTTGTGGACTTTTTTTTCCTTAACATTAAGAGCTATCTTGATAAATGGTGTTAAAGAATATCTGAGAAAATAACACAAAAATATGAGAACTGAGAAGAAAATAAACATTGCAACTTAAAGTGGCTATTGATGGAAAGATCAAGGTTTGTAGTTTCCTCCAGACATGTAAAGATTTATCCACCCATTGGGAGATTACTCAAAACCCGTTGCAGAATAAGGGTTTTCTAGGCTTATCTAGAAGTTTTGAGTATAAATATGTGTATGTAATAATGTATTATCTGATTTAAGATAGTCCGAGTGTACATATTGTTGCAGATTAGGATAGTTGTTCGCTTGTTTTATATGACTTGTTGCATTAGCGTTGTCATGTAACTTTTAATATGATACAATTTGTTATTATGTTAATATAACATGTAATTTAGTATCAAATTGTATTTGACTAAAACCTCAACATTTATGACCGAGTTCGGTAGATGATATATACAATAATCGAAGCTTAAGTATTTACAATTGTTTAAAAGAAAAAAAAAATAACAATATTGTGCCAACTTTGGTTAATTTCTTTATTATAGTATTATAGTTTTATACATTTACTTTAGTTTTAACATATTCTATCTTTTAATACTTCTATTTCTTTCTATACAATATTCTTTGAATTCTTTCCAGTAATTACAATCTCTTTCAAATATATAATAATGTTCATTGTTATAGTTTAGAAAAACTTCATATTATATATATATAATATAATAATATATATTAATATATATATATTATATATATATATATATACTATATAGAGAGAGAGAGAGAGAGAGAGAGTTGGGTTCAACAAGGAACCAATATTTTCTTAATTTTTAAGGCAAATTTTTCATCAACAAAAAAAAACTAAAAATATAAATATTCATAACTTTTTATCCTCCATCCGTTGATATCAAATTAGATAAAAAAAAAATTTTGATCTGTTCAGATTCACCCTACGAAATCTGTGCATATTTACACTGTGAATTTATACAGAATTAAAGATTTATACCGAATATTCATAATTTGAATCTGAACAAATAAAAAAAGTAAAAAAGAAATATATCAAATTTGATATTAATTGAAAGAAGATAAAAAGTTATGAATTCTATATTTTTAGAAATTTTTTCGATAAATAATAAAATCTAAACTTGAAAAAATAATAGTTCTTTTATTCTATGGTTTAAAAATTCATTGTTGAACTTTTGCGTGATATATTATATATATATATATATATATATATAATATATATATATATCTATATATATAATATTATATATATATATCTATCAAGTTTGTAAAAAACGTTTGACGTTAGCTAGTCGGTGGACTAGGGTTACGGTATTAATCGGCTAGGCGGAGATTAATCGGGGGATTAATCGCGGACCATTAATTGCTAATTCGTTGACTTTAAGAAAATTATATATGACTAATATCATAACAAAGTCATAAATAACACTAATATCATAATAAAATAAGTTAATATGATTAATACAACAACAATCTTTCGTCAAATAGTTTCTATTGAGTTAGAACTTATTCAAAGTGTTAAAATTTCATTATTTTCTACTACTTCACACATTATGTAGGTAGGGATTAATCGCTAGATGCTCTCTAATCGGTCAGGTAGCGCCTAGGGATTATTCGGAGATTAATCGCGAGTTAGTCGGGATTTTTACAACAGTATATATATATATATATATATATATATATATATATATATAAAGAGAGAGATGCTTTTTAGTAGAATAAATATGTAATTGTATGTTTTACTAATATAGATACAGTTTAAAAGTAAAAAATACTTAGTATTTTTTTTGAAGAATTATAAAAACATATTATTTCTGTTTATATAAGTATAGATATATTTTTTCAAAAATAAACATACATTTTTACAGTTTTAAAAATATAATTAAAATTTTTATATGTAGAAATATGTTATGTATGTAAAATATAAATATTTTTTTTAATTTGTATTACCACACTTTTGATATATATATACTATATATATAATATATATATATATATATATATATATATATATATATATATATATATATGTGTGTGTGTGTGTGTCAAAATCCGTATTTATACTTCTAAAAACTATATCTATATTTTTAGAAATATATTTGTACTTATAAAAATAAAAAGTATATATTTATACCATTGAAAATTATAACTATAGTTGAAAATATGTAAACATATGCATTAATAATTTTATACTTTTAATAACACATTTTTACATTTTAAAGAATATAATTACACAAAAAACTCGTGTATAAAAAATAACATTTAAAAAATGATATTTAATTAAAAGCCATTCGTATACAAATATATATTTATGTTTTCGTACATATACTGTGAAAAAAAAACATAATTATGGTAAAAAATTCTTAGATTTATAAACATAAAGGTTTTTTTTACCAATTTTATTTCATTGTAACATGAAAACATATGAACTTGCAAAGTTTTGGTATTAACGCACTAAATTGCAAAGATTTGGTACTAACGCACTAAACAACGACTTTAGGGTAAAATACTTGAGGTCGAATTTAGTTGTGAGGTGTAGAAGTGTCTTTTTTCTTATATTAGTTTCGAAGTCTGTCTTGTATGTTTGTATAAGAGCACATCTTTGTGTCGAAACGTTATTGTATTAGCCCTTGTGTATATTTTTGTATGCTTCTGTAATCCCTATAAATAGGTGATCGGTACTAGAGTTAGAGTAACTTTTTGTGGATTCGCTACTTTTACTCTAAACATTCTCTGTATCTTTCAGAAGCTATAATCGAGTCATCCAGATCTTATTTACTCTTTGTGTTCATAATTCAATTTAAACCCTGATTTCGTTTCTTATACTCGATCTATAACAAGTACAAAAATTGCGTTTTTTTTTTTGAAAAACTTAAAGGTTTTTATATCACGGATGACTTTACTTCAAGTGAAACTAAGCAAGGGCTTAGGGCCTCTAATCTAAGGGACCCCAATTAACCCACATCTCGATTAGTGATTCTCCATACGATATCCATGCATGCCATAGAAGAAAACATCTTCCAAGCGACCGCCAACCGTTCTTCTTCCAATCTTCTTTCTCCGCTTCTTGTTCTCTGATTCTCCATTCTCGGCAGAAGCAACCATTACCAATCTCCAATCCCGAGTGAATATTAATCAATTCTTCATTCTTTATTAGTTAATTCGTTGATTCTCGATTCTTTTTCTTCCTCACTGAAAACTTCATGGCTATCAACTATCGTCAAGAAGACAAGAAGATAATAATTGAAAGTCCGATACAGTGAAATAATATATTTTTCTTGACTTCTTCCTCTGATAATTTGATTCCCCATTGTTGATTCTTATTTCTCCATTAGTCTATTAGGCTTATGTTTGATATATGGAATATGTATAATTGTATATCAGTTTTCGAACCTTCTATAATTCCATTATCTGAATTTCGAATATCCAAATCTGATTATTTGACTAATAGATTATCTACTAGGGTTTGTATGGAAATATTGTGGTGTATCATTTGTTCAGTTTTTTCATTTATGAATTATGATGTGGCTATGATTTTTGTGGATGCTCTAGTAGTCTAGTTTGTATGGAAATATGTTCCAATTTTAACAATATGGTGTAAGTTGATGTTCTTGATATTTTATCAACGAAAATCTATCTTTGAACTAAGTGTGTAGTACATTACCATTGAATCAGGTTTGGAACTAAATGTGTAGTACATTACCATTAAATCAGGGTTTATAACATTAAGTATAGTAAATGCCAAAGGGCCCAAAAATTTTGGTTCGGTTAGAGCCCCTAAACTGGTTGGGCCGTCCCTGGTGGAAGTCTGCAAGACAAAAACCTTAACGTAAATATATCTATATTTTTTACTTAATTAAATAGTGTTTTGAAAAACATATATTTATTTGTAAAAGTGTTTATTAACTTATTTGGCTATGAAAGAATTTTTAGTTGGTACTAAAACACAATATGTTGATAGGTTGTCTTTCGATAATTGTTGTTTATAAATTGGAAATGACAAACATAAACATCTTTGCATATTATTAATTATTTTCATATTAAGTTTATGTTTTTAAAATTTATAAAAAAAATGTATAAATAATACTAAAAATATATATTTATAATAAAAATTAATATAATCTATCTAAATAACATATCAAATATATTTTATATAGAACTTTATATTAATATTATTAAATGCATATGATTACCAAAACCTATCTTTTATATAGGGGATAATGACTTAAAATAGTAATATACTTTTCGATTTGTACACATTTGGTCACTGAGTTGTTTTCGTCCATATTTTCCCCTTCAACTTATTTAGATGTACACATTCAATCCTTATGACCGGCTACTACAGATAAGTTAGAAAAAAATGATTTAATAGGGTAATATATTTCTCACTTTGTACACATTTAGTTCTTAATATTTCTTGTTGCAATATAATTGTTGTTGTGTTTTTACATTTGCAATATGTATAAACAGTTTCTTTAAGTTTTTCTCACGAAATCCTACATGGCACAATCATTAATGACGTGTTCGGGTGTGACATCCCCAATTTTCAGAACCGAAAAAATATTTTCTTTACACTTTAAAGATCATAATATCTTTTATTGCGGGAAATTCCTAGTAAAATAAAACAATTTGAGTACATGAGATTTGTTTCAAAATAATAAAACTAGAGGATGTATGTCACACCTCGACCCGCAGCAGAAACGTCGTGGTTGTGACATAAAACGTTGGAATCATAGTCAACAAACATA